CTGGGTGAGAATCCGGTGTTGTCTACGGCCGCTTTGATGGCTCTGGTCTGGCTGCAGATTCATTATTAACTATGAACATGATAAATCACAACTATGAGTCAACAGTACGCGTGAGCGTGGCAGCAATGTGTTAACACGCATTGCGACGTGCACAGGACTGCAGCGTAACCGCCGTACAACGGCCGAGCTATTCACACACTGTAAATCCCACACGCCGTATTCCATTTCCTGTTGGTGGGCCCGCCAAACCCAAAAGGGATTGATGGACTTTCATCAAACTCTAAGAAAGTGCCTAATGTGAGGAGGAAATAGAGTTCTAGCTGTCAGCGGCTGTAATGCTCGATATCTTAAGCAGATAATGAAGGGAGCAGGGGATGGAAAGAGGGCTAGAGGGAAAGAGACACCACACAGAGAGCCGGGCAGCAACTCTGACAAATCGCTGATGCCTGGAAAACGGGAGGCTGCACGTGGAGAGGCGGCCACCCAATCACATTTTAAGGACAAATATATTGAAAATCGGGAAACCGGCAGGCCACCTGAGATACAAGAGCAATCCCCAATGACTCCGTGGCTACTTGTACAGTGACGATGGGGGAGAGGATGTGAAGATGATGCTGAGCATGAGCCAAACCACTCTGGCAATGATTAGAGTACGTCTTTATGTCCTCGGAAGAACTTCCTTGCAGTACAGTGTCCCACTGTACTGCAAGTGGGACACCTTATGGATATAACACCTATAACACCTTATGGATTGAGACGCATTCTCATCATGAGAAGTGTCCCTTCACTAATTTGTTGTTTAGAACTGGAGTTCAGAAACACAGAAAACAGGCCCAACCATTTACTTGTCTTCTTCTTCTCATCATCTGTCACCAGCTCACAGCATCCTGCGATCACCACCTTCCCATTTCTGCATCTTCCCCAATCAGCACGTCGCCCCGCTAGGATTAGGGAGCCGTGTCAGCACCGAAGACGAGTTCTGTATGGAATCAACCACGGCGATACTGAATGAGGACGCAGAGGCTCCTTTCGCTAAATTGTGTATACTGAAATGAATCTGAAGGGTGTATAAGCATTCTCACGTCACCGCATGCAGTACACAACTGTGAAAAGGCGATTTACAGATAAACAAATGGACAAATGTCAGAACAGTAAACCATAAGCAGAGTTGATTAATCAGGGCCTCAGCGCGGAGTGTAATGTGTTTGTGTTTATATTGGTGGTGATTTGTCTTACGACGATGCCCAGCTGGAGGTTGTACAGTTGTGTCTCTCGACAGAATCCAATCCAACCAGATAACTCTCTTATTCCCAGAAAACAACCCGTGGAAACACTGTGATGTATGAACCCATTATCGCAACAAATCAAAACACAGAAAATCACTTTCCGCCGAAAGAGAAAACTCATAATGCCCCAATCACAGATACTGTGACTCCACCGCTCCCCACTGCTGTGCCGGAGACACAGAGTCCAATGAAATGCTGTCGTCTGTAGATGAAAGCGTGGGACCGTTGGGAGCGTGAAGAGGGAGAGCGACGCTGGCTAAATGGCCACCGTCTGTGTGCGTCCGACGGGCCTTTTGGCCTGAATGTTGTTCACAAAGCGTCCGCATTAACCCTTTAAAGTCCCCCTTCCTGTTGCTCGCAGTCCAACCGAAATAATGACTTACATAACCGCTAAACACTGGCTCCACAGGGTCCCGCTGCGAGTCTATTAGACTCCGTCGCACCGAGGGAGCAACCGCGTGCTTCTTTGTGGCTGGACAGTCTTCATAAGGACGCTGACGGGCTGATTACACGGTATATTGAAGGGTTACTTTGGCGTTTTCAGAAACACGCTTATTCACGATCTTTCCATGAGACGATAAAAACCACTACGGTGCGTTGAAGGCCTGTAGGATTTGGTGGTTGCGTGGTTACAAAAACAATATTTAAAAGGTGGCCCCCTCCTCCACGGCTCGAAGAGTATCGCTTTGGAACGAGTTTCATCTGCTTGGCAATTTATGCACCGCGCCCAACTTTTTTTTCGTAGCATCCTTTTGGATGCGCGCTTATGATATTGCACATTGTTTCTATGTTTATATAGAGGTTGACACCCAGAAAACCTCCCGAATACACAGAGGGCGGAGTCTGTGCCACACGCTGCACTGGGTTAGTACGGACGAATGAGAGGGATTCTTCGTGTAGGAGTCTGTACATTATAATCTTTTAGTTTAGTTTAACTCATCACACATTTTGGAAGCGAAGGGAAACAGCTACGCGTCTTCTCTCCCGAGCTCCCGAACACCTTAACACCTCCTGCAGCGCTGCTAAATCATCCCAGTGTGTCCCGTCTCCCTAATTTGGGCTTTTAAAAAGGGAGTTACAAGAATGTAACTCCTCCTGGGCGGATTTCTGTTTGTGTATGGATTAAGTAAACACCTGATTACACCCGTTTATCTACGCTCCGCCAATACCAATACGTGTCAGTACTTGACACAACGGAGGGAGCGTGAGGAGCGAGACAGTTGGCTGAGGGGTGACGGGACAAACAGTCACAGGACAGCAACCCCCCCGAGGGTCCATTACTACAGAGAGAGGGAGCTAGGTTAGCCGTCTCACTCTCTTTTTACTAAGCTAAGATAATTGCCTCTTGACCTCAGCTCCCTACCTAATGCACAGAAATAAGAGGGAGATCTAATCTCCTTCTTTGGCCCGCAGATGAACCCGACCCTTGAGCAAAGGAGCATTACGGCCTTTTGAGTTGACATTTGGCAGCAGAGTTCAAATAACTCCCACGACCGTTTTATTAAATTCAGGAACAAAACCAAAAAGGAGATAAAAAAAAAAAAAAAAAAAGCAAAGGAAACAATGTAACCAAGCGGCTAGCGGGGCCCGAGAGCACGACGACAGGAGCGAGATGGAAGACAGCTGGAAGATGTTTAGACAGGATCAGATCGTTGTGTTGACAGGAGGGTTCAACAGTCAAGGCCACTTAAGGACATAATATTGACCGCTTCTCCACGCAGGCCGCCCTAATTTAATGGTCCAAAGCTGTCAAAATCTAGTTGTGCACAATGCTTAAACAAAGGAGTAACCCATCGGAATGAATACTGCCAGGAGACGAAGCTACGCATGAACAGTTATGACACAGCGCAGACTTGCAGCATATCAAATGGACTTGAAAGAAAAACCCAGAGAGAGAGAGAGGCCCCTCAATAAAAAGCCTATAAGGGCTTCCCACTGGAGCCGAACAATCAGAAACATGGAGGAAACCCAATTGAAAGGTCGACAAGAAGAAGAGATGTGCAGTGTACAAATACTCGTGCAGCTATGCGCTTGTCCTCTTTCTTGCTGACAAGCACCATGTGTAAACTTGCTGCAGGTCCAGGCAAAAAGCCTTAAACGGGTGGATGTCACACTGACGCACGGGACACCGCCAATGTGATCAAAGCTCCATGTTGTTGATGAAAATAAAAGCATTCAACCAGAAGCATATGTAAATATCTGAGCTGAAGTATTCAGCCCTCTATGTACAGTGGGGAAGAACAAGAATCTGTAATTTGTATCATAGGTACAAAAATCCAGAAAATCTCACTGTATGATTTAAAAAATATATATATTTAGCATAACTTACTTTCTCTGCAATTTTAGAAACATTTTGGTGGATTCTGAGCAGCAGCTCATTGTTTTTCCCCTCACGCAGTCAGAGATGCGTGTAGCCAGGGAGAGAGGATTTTGCGCACAAGGAGAAACTGATGGATGGTTCCTATGGAAGAGTCTCAGGTTTGAGTGGACCAAACATTCATGTGGACACCGAGTGCAGACACATTGTCTCACATGAGTAATAACCGGCTTAAAAAGGTTCACTTCACAGTACAGAATGTGCTTCCATTACTAGTGGAACGGCCAAATATGCCAATAAATTCACATCGAAAATTGAATCGGAAACAAAAGAAGAATAAAACTTTTGCGATTTTCCGGTGAGATAGCGGCGAAGGCATTGGTCTCATACGTGGAAGAGGAGGAGCTCTAGGAGGGAAACTCGTGAAAAGCTCATGGATTAGAGGAACAGACACCACGACGAGGTAGAGACCGATGGACGGGCTGGGGCGGGACTAGGTTCTGCACCGCCACCGTTTCTATCAATCACTCTGTTTGTCCAACTGGCGTCCCTTCTGAGGTCACGGCGTCCAACCAACCTCGGTACCGTCGGTTGGAAGGAGAACGAAGCCGTCAAGAGAACGTGAATAAACTCAATCCGACAGAAAGGGTTAAGGAACCTTGAAAGGCCTCCAAAGTTGGATCTATCAATTATGTATTTGATGTGAAATTGATTTTAAGTTTATAAAAGAAAATTAACAAATATCTGCAGATTTAAATGAGGAAATAAAGCGGTTCATGAAAAGAAAAGAATACAACTGGTAACAGTAGTTCACAGAGTAACAGCAAAACAAAGAACGCTCTTTGCTCGACTCGATCAACTCTCGATAGATGTCTTTGAAATTTGAAACCACAGCTGTCAAAAACCATAACTGCTCGACAATCCTGGAAAAAAAAAACCCAAGAGCAGGTAATGTTTCATACAACTATAAAATAGAAAGAGCTCTCAAAAGACAAGAGCACACCAAGGAGAATACATCACAATCATGCACCAAAAGGAGCCGGCTGTCCTCCTCCGAGACATCGATCAATATATCGGAGGAGGCGCTGCAGACGTGGCCTACGTCTTTGTCACAGCCAAACGGGCGGCAGCTGATTAATCGAGCGCCGTCCACAGAACTGTGGGAATGTTTTTCCCTCCCCGATACAAGAAAACCGGCCCATTCAACTATGACTCATGAGTACCGGAGTTTTTGTAAATAACGTGTACACTCTCACCTCACAGTGCACGCTTATCATTGACAACTTCCTGCTCACCGATAGCATTAAATCTGTGATTCTGTGAGAAGTCCAGCGCTCGGCTTATAAAACCGCGAGAAAGAAATAAGCGTGTGTGAAATGGAACAAGTAAAAACGTTGAGCGGTGTTATGGACTTTTTAATGTGTTTTGCTTCATCGTGCAGTCAGATGCTGAATGACCCGAATCATGACATTCTCTGCAGACTCCATATTTGAATCACAGCTGCAGGAGAGAAATATGTAGCAAGTAGGTTACAAAATACAGCAGTTTGGAAAAGGGTTTGAAATAGGTATAAAAGGCCTAATGGTATTGCCACATGGCTTGTTGGCCTTGCATCCTGTTTTTACTGGACATTTATTTCATACTTTGACTAGGAGCATATGTTCATACATATAAAATGTTGGCTTGTCTATTGCCCCATGAAAAAAAGAAAGAAATCGTTGGCAAACATTTGTATGTCAGTACAGTGAAAAATAAACTGGAATATTTTCCTTATTCGTTATTGTGTTTTTAATCCACTTTAAGCCAGCACCAGTTTTGTTTTTAAAAAGACCATATTTGCTGACACATGCAGAAGTCTACAATTGACTGTGATGCAAGTCGTGCTGATGCTGGCCTCGTTGTAATGACCCCAATATGTGTTGCCTGCAAATCATGGACTCATCTCATCAATCTGACACAAAACAGAGAAGGACATAAAACCAAAAAGCGCACAAACACAACAGGGGGGCCAACAAAACATTCAGTGCTTCCCCCGCAACAAAAGAATGGAACACCCGAAGGCCTCGTTATAGTGTTGCACGCTGCACGAGTCCCAACTCCCCATAAAAAGTGCATGAGACACTGAGCCACATTGCAGAAGACCTCCTCCTGAACTCCCGTTTTCTCCGCAGCCATGTTCGCGAACAGCTGAGGCCAGCGGGGGGCAGAACCCCCCGCTGGCCTCAGCTGTTACCCGGCCAGTCCCTCCGACGCACACGCAAAGAAGTCACGTTCACACGGCCGAGGGCGCGTCGCGCCTTTCTGCCGCGCAAACACCGCGCATCCTCGTCCACCCGTGCGAACAACGTACATCTGTCGTTTCCCTCTTTTTTTATTGCAGAGCATTCCATCACACACAGTAAAAAACAAGATTTTGTGTGCTTAAAGAGCAGTAACATAAATGTATCACAACAACTATAATATACGCGGTTTATGTTACTTGGGGAAGAACATTAACTGTTGTGATTTACACTTTGAGTGCTTGATATGTTAATCACATCCATGCTGCCTAAGATTCAGATTGTGCCGTGCACAACCCCCCTCTTCATTAATGTCATTACTACGGGTAAAAGTACTGCGTTCTGTAGGTATAAATAGGATCATCTAAAGACTTCTTTCATGTACAGCTTAGTTACGACCATAAATTTCCAAATAGGCCTAAAAGTGACAGGAAACAGATCACAGTAAATACGGCGCCGTTCAAAAACCTTCACATTACATCAGCATTTGGCATGGTAGAAAAATAAATTACGAAACAGCATAAATAGTTGACACAAAAACAGTATTAACAATATTTTCAGTTTGGTGCCTGTTAAAAAAACAACAACAACAAAAAAAAAAGTTCACATTCACACAAACTCTTTTTAAAAGGTTGTTAGTCCCATCTTTCTACCGCAGTTGGTCACATAAACAAAACCAAAGTTTTCCTTTCCTTTCAATCGTCCCTTCGCTCAGCGGAGACGGCAGGGAGAGCGTCCCGTCCCATGTAGGCGAGCCTCCTATGAGCGAGTACCAAGTCCACGGATGAGTCCTCACTGGCTGAGCACGGAGACACAGAGAGGGACAGAATGAGTCGTTCTCCATGTGTCAGGAGAAGGATCACAGTCAGAGGAGTGGGCTTCATGCTGGGTGTACACACACACACACACACACACACACACTACGTGGTGGATTTCAGCACTTTAGCTGCACTCGACAACTGAGGTCAATTAATGGAATAATGAACGATGGCCAAATATGACCTCGTTTACGAGCCAGGCGCCCACGGTCACGCCTCCCAACTTGCCCGTTTCCCAATTAACTGGCGTCACGGTACGTAGGGAGCAAGAAACCGTGGGCGATAAGTAACGATCTACGAGGACGTTTCCCCACAGTGGAGCCGGAGCCACGAGGAACTCTGCAGATGCTCCATTATTACCGTGGCGTCGAGGCGTCGGCATTGTTTGATCTCCATTAGAGCAAAGAACAAGACGAGGTACAGCATGTTCAGAGAGAATAGTAACATGACAGTTGAGCGTCATTATGCAACAATCGTGCTGCAGCTCTGTGTGGCCTGCATACACAGAGTAGACACACTGTGAGGTTACAAAAGGCTGTGCACGACTTGTTGATAAAAAAGAGCCGATGCTGTGACAACATTGCATCACACAGCTATTTTTGATGCCTCAGTTTACCCTTCCAGTTCATCCAGGGACAACGCAAAGAAAGTTAATTTGAATTTTAAAAAATGTACATCCAAAAAGGAATTTAAGAGAAAAAAAAAAGAATCCAGGGGGAAATAACCACAAAAGGCTAAGAGATTTTAGCTGATTAATAGTTCAAATCCTGTATTGGGTATTTGTGGTAGCAAAACAGAAAGGTATGATTTGTTTACACAACACAGTAGATATTCTGTACTTTGTATTCTGCATTTCTTCTATCTATAACCTGGTGAAATAACTTGCCCTCTAAATTGTTTGCTGTGAGCTACTACAGGACTGTGAAACATGAGAATCAGAAACACACACAGCTGTACTGTGCCACCAATATCTATACCCCAAAAGACCTCTGAGTGAGTGGAAATCATTAAATACATTCAACTCTATTAATGAACTCCATCAGCTTACCTGCTCTTCAGCCGCTTTTGAGGAAGCGCTCTGAAAAGAAAGGAAAGGTTTGTGAGGCGGCCGGGGCGGAAAAACTTCTGCCCGCGTGATCGTGTGTTAAGAGCCGATTTCAGTCCAGCAGGACTTGTGACAAAAGCGCGAGAATCTCAAAGTGGAAACGTTGAAAATCCTGGGCGGCAACTACGTCAGTCTCTTCCTGCTCCCAAACACCCCCCCCAGTTGCGTGCGAAGGGGTTCTAACGCCACAACAACATTGACATGAACTGTGTGCGGACGGTTACATTCAAATAGGAAACCACAGTCCGGCAGCAGCACCTGAAGTTACTGGACCTCCGGGTCCAATTAAAATCAGCCGCACTGCGTGCTGATCAGCACCCTCGGGAGGCATATCTCTCTGGCGAGATGACCACTCTTGTTATTTTAGGCACATTGTTCAGGATTCATTTTCAGCCTTTTATGGTGCATCATGAAAGCTAACCTTGTTCTTTTTTCATCTCATGGATGAGTGGAACAAGTCTGCACATGATTTAAATAACATCACGGTTAATGTTGAGTGGAACGCGACGCACTTGAAGAGGGAGGATTGCATCACTTGGAGAAATCGCATGAGGAAAGAGAATATATTTTTGTCCTGGTTTCTACGATAAGGTAATATAGTGCTGAAACATCTTCTTGGTTTTTGGGGTTTGTGAGGTTTTGCACCTGCCGATGACGTACCGAATCTGGTTGAACAGTTTAAAATGTTTCTCTGATCTTGCGCACACACACGCGCACAAACACACACACACACACCTCTGCAGGAGCCGTTTTGACGTACTTGATGAAATCAGGAGTTGGTGCCACCTGGTGGTACAAAGGGCAAACATTTACACATGGGTAACATGTGTTTGCCTGACACAAGACGCATCTGCAGCAGTGACCCGTGAGGGTGTGTGTGTGTGTATGTGTGTGTGTGCATGCACGTGTTCAAAGAGGCCACTGTTCACACACTCACCTATAGATGTTTGGGTCGAGCAGCATGGCAGCGTCCTGCGGCAACTGGGATAAGTGCACCACTTTAGACTTCAGCTGAGATCGCTCCGTTTCATTCACCCATACGTCGGGCAGTCTGTAGGACACACACACACACACACACACACACACACACACACAACGTGTGGTCAGGGTTGAAGCTCTAAGAAGAAAGAGGGAGAGAAAGGGGGGAGGAGTGGGTGTAAGGATGAATGGAACAGGGTGAGAGGGATGGACAAAGAGCCTCATTGAGTCCAGCGCACATGTTAACACCTTCCATGTTTCCATAAGTAACGAACCAAAGCGCGATGCCGTCAAGGCCATGTGTGTGTGCACAGACGTGTACACACACACACACACACACACACACACACACACACACACACACACACACACACACCCCTGCTGTTAATTAGAACTTGTACACTAGATCCTCAACGTCTACAATGAGAACAGCTTGATCTTTACAGCTCTTCAAACTCAAGATGGTCACACACAAACCCCTCCCACCCCCCACACTGCTGCTCAGCGGACCCCCGACTGTACCCAACGCAGTGTGAATCCCCCCCCCCCTGTGAAGGAAGGGAGCGTGCGAGCATGTGGCATGGCGAGTCGAGGTGCAGCAGAAACAAAGAGCTTCGCAAGTCGACTGCGCCTCCCCTCCCTCCTCCAGCCTCCGTCTCCGCCCCCGACATTCCCCCCGTCACTATGTGCGTCATCACAGGAGCCCCCAGAGATGCAGACACACACGCACACACACACACGCACACATACTCGGTGCAGGCGGCAGTTAGAAAACGGGCAGCCACCCAGCCCAAATCACTCATTCACGTGCCTCGTCAGCCTGCTGGGTAGGATGCAGTCCTCCTAAATTCCACAACATCCCACCTGAGTAAGTTTAGTTTATTCATAAAGAAAGTGGAGAAAAAAAAAAGAAAAGAAACATATGAGCGAGAGAAAAAAAAAATAGGGTAAAGGTTTTCTAAATCTGGTTTAGAAAAAAAATCTAAAATGAAGTAACGTGCTCACCAAAATGTGTGGATTTAAAAAAAAAAACATTATTGTTATGGTAAAAGTGTCTCCGTCCCCTTTAATGTTTGCCATGGAAGTAAGAGGGTTTGAGAAGAGGCAGGGACGAGACAAGGAACAGTTCCCTTCAAAGCAGCATTAAAGTTTAGGCTGGTCCTGAGTTAGTGTCCTGGTGCAACCCAAACATCGAATGACAGAAGACCCGCTGAGTGTTTAGAACTATAACACACACACACACACACACACACACACACACACACACACACACACACACACACACACACACACACACACACACACACACACACACACACACACACACACACAGGCCAGAATGAAGCAGAGTCCTCCAGCCCGGATTGATGGCTGGCTGTGGGCCTTCGAGCTCCCAGTGCAATAAGTCCGTAACAGGGCAACAGAGTCGAGGTTAAATGACTAACGCAGTGAAATTTATTAGGACCAGTATGAAGGACTTTAGGTGTTCAATGACCTTGTGAAGTGCAGTATCTGCTTAATCCACAATAATACGCTTTTCTTTTAAAAAGTAAATTGGTTGTAAGTAAATTGGTTGCTCCTCAGAGTGATGTAAACACACGCCTCTCACTTACACACTTACTTATTGTGTAGTATTCATTTATTAGATTGCTGTGCTAATTGTCATCGAGCCATAACTCTCCCAGTTGACCATCGCATATTAACCTCACATCTTGATTGGGTTCAGGCCATAAAACCAAGGTAAGAGCCATATATCATTTGGCAAATGATACGTTTGATGGATGTCTATGTTTATATGACGCTTTGCCGCGACCCTTTGACCCCGATAGGAAGATTGTTTTATTACTACCAGTGAAAAGCAGTGGTTCCATAACTGTAAACTTTACGACATCTATAAACTAAAGACAAACATCAAAGTGCAGCTTTCTTCATTTTATTCTCTGGAGCAGACGTGCAACCGTTGATGATGCAGAACAAAAATGGAGCCGGCGCTCCCGATGCACCCAGTCATTGCCCCCCCCCTCGATCCAAGATGTGCAGAAACAGCAAGCGCCTCGTTCACAGCGTGAGCGGGGATCCTTCATCAATAACTCTGCACCAAGAGTCAGTGTTTTTGCCCATTTAATTCGACAAAGTTCCCCCTTGGGGGAGTTTGGGTTTATATTCCAAATGCGTGTGATAGAAGAAAGTCACACAATAGAGTTTGTGGCACTTTTCCCCCCCAACGCGGCCACAAAAGGCGGTTGTACTTGTGTCCATTTCAAACAGGTCTTATTCGTTTTTACTAAAGGCCTTGTTTGTCTTTAGAACATGACAAAGAAGCTAACAAAAGGTCTCTCGTGATTGAAAAGCACCGTGTTGTCGGTACAGAAACAATGTGCCAGCATGCATCCGGGGGCACCGGCTGTGTGTTTGTTTTTCGCAGCATTCAACAGCGTGTCGGGGAACCCGTTCAGCCATCCGTCAGAGATTAGACAGCAGTTATGCTTCTCTTCCTCGCTTTCTCAGCCCCCCCACTCCACTCTTCCTCCTTAGCGCGCCGCTGGTGGTTCTTGTTCAGAATGGTTTATGCTGATCAGTGTCTCGTTCATCCAAATGGAGTGGATGAGTCTCGGTAGGTGAATGGTTTGCTCCGACATTCACTTTCTGGGACGCACGCGTGTTTGTGAGTGAGAGAGCGCCTTGATGTTGGCCGTGGCCTTCAGGGTCGTGACCCTGGATGTCTGACTAAATGACCAGTACATTTATGGTCAGCTACAAAAGACATTATATTGAGCCAAAGGCTAAACATTAACTCGTGTAAACAGACACTCGTTACCGACCGCCCCCATTCTGAACCGCTTACAGGACGTTAGATCCCTTCCCTGAGCAGCGATCCGATGCCTGGAAAGCTTTGGACTTCTGGGAAATTTCAGAAATAACTAATCTGTACCTGGACGGGTCTTTTCACTTCCATTACGCCTGTGATGTGCAGCTTCAGCATTTCCTCCCTAATTTAATCTCCTCATCAGCATTTATCTGTCAGGTGATAATAACCCTCACAGATAAAGTTAGACATTGTGTGTTCTTTCACCATCCCTCTGTGGAAGGATTATGTTCATGCTCATTAATTACGGTCTTGCTCGAGAGCAAGAATCACGAGCATTGTAGTAAAAAAGTAATCTCACTCCCCTTTTCCATCTTTGATCCTCATCCTTCACTCGGTTTTCATTTCTCTTTCCCACAGCCATCTTCTTCCAACTTCCATCCCTCACCTCCGACCGTTTTCTGTCTCCCCCATTCCGCCTCTCTCCGCCTCTGAGTCTCAGGATCAATCTCCATCTGCGTCTCTCTGTTTGGAATTAATCTGAGGAGTCTTTCCTGATCACCGGAGTTCATCCGTCTCTTCTTTCCCCCTTTCTCTCATTAGTTCCCAATGCACAAGATTAAACTCCCACATGCGGGGCGAGGAGGAGACATCAGAGGTGGATGAGAGAGGGGAAGACGAAGGACTGGGAGAACCATGTTCGTCGGAAGCTGTCAGCTGCGATCTGCTTCATCATGCGTCATCTGGGTTTCGCTTCCCGGCGCCGACTTCCCAAGATCCCTTTTCCTCTTTGTTGTCAATCGTCTTCTTTGTCTCATTTGACCCTTGTCCCTCCCCCTGCTCCTCCTCCTCCTCCTCACCTTTCCTCTCCTCTCTCTTTTGTTCCCCTTCTCCCCGATGATACTCACAGGCCCGGCAGTGGAAGCCTTTAATGAGCGTGTGGGCCGTTCGGTGGGAGCTTCCCCCGAGCAGGAATCCTGCTGAATGTTACGGCGTCCGCCAACGTTAATCTCTCTCTCTCTATGACACAAACCCATTTACAAAAGCACTTCTCAAACCTCCTCGATCTTCTGCCAAACGCTTAAGGGGCTTAAGTTGTGCCGAGGTTTACCTTCCCCTACCACGGAAGCCACAAAAATAATAATCATTCACGGACCCTTTGCGGATGAATTGATGAGGACTAAAAGGGGACCTGGGGTCCCGGCACCAAGAGCTCTCCACTAAAAGTATTGGATCGTCATACAGAGGTAGGATTGTGAGGATTTATAGCGAGTTGTAAAGGAAGACCACCACGTTGAGTGCACGAGTGGATGGAGATAGAATACATGTAGGGTTGTTAACTAAACCAATGCTGCTCAAAAAGGAAATGTTTGCGTGAAAGAGGAAGACTTCACTGATTGGTAGATAACTTCTAAAATATCCCTGATTCTATTAGAATGTTGACGGACACATAATGCGAACAAAGCCTTTAGCTCCACATGCAGAACAGTGTTTCAAATAAAAGGGACCATGTACATTTCAAACACGCATGTCAACATTTGAGGGACTACGCAGCTCATTACATTATATTATTTTTTAAATTCTATCCACTTTACTCACATGTCCTCAGGTGTCCAATGTAGGAGGACCTTCACCTTGCCGGACCCCTCTTTCCTTTTGGCCACCACCTGCACAAAGATAACGAAGCAAACGCACACGCTGAGCGATAAAGAGACACGGCGAGCGCTGCGGTCCAGGCCCAGTCTCCGCTGTGCGGCGCACGCGTAGCCGAGTCACCAGAATAACCACAACAAACAGACCAACGTACGATCCGACCTCCATCATGGTTCATTCAGAGACGGGGAAGCGTCACAAAACACGTGGGGTTTTTTTTTTGGCTGCGGTCTCTTTCTCTCCCGTCTGCCGAGAGCCGGCTTCAAAGACGTGCCCCCCCCCCCCCCCCCCGAACCGGGGCCCGTCTCTCTGAAGAGTGAAGAGGCCACGCGGGTGACACAGTGTCGGATCGCTACACCAATAAGCAATGCGAGCGCTGGGCGAGATGGAGAGATTTCCAAAGCGGGTCCACGTTACGCTACGAGTTCATTTCAGTGTTCTGCCAACAGGACCTTCTTTCTTCTTGTGAAAATACAGTTGAGACAATACGCAATTTCCTAAATAGTCGGCCCCTTTCATGTATAACATTTCATCCATCTTGCTGTGTTGGTTTATAGTAAAAAAAAACGGTGTGGAATTTGCAGAAATATTGTCGGAAGGGGAAAGTAAAGCTGGAAAAATAACCAGGAGTGTAAAAAATAGCCGGAGACGACGTTTTGCGTCACTGGGCTCGTTTTTGTCAGGAATGTCTATTTTTAGGAGACGGAGTGAGCTCACGTGTGAAGAACTTCTCCTACGCACATGAATATCTGGAATCCTTTCTGGCACTCAGGGGAACGGCCGCAGCATTGATGGAAACTGGTTTGAGGACCGGGGGGACGGGGCTTCACAGAGAGGAGGGGACACACACACACACACACACAACTACAATCACTCATCTTACAACCCTTCTTGTCCTCCCAGACGACATTTATTTATCTTACTTTTATTTATCTCCGTGATCTGACAATCTGGCCTCCTTCCATGGCGCTCCATGTTTTGGTCTGCTGTCGAAGAAAAACACTACGGTATTGGTCTCCTCCGTACTTTCTAAACAGATGTTAGAAAACATCCGCGTTGGAAGCTGCCGTCTGACACAACCAACACATTCAGTTGTCCTTTGATCAACTTTTTGTCAAACGTCTTCTCGGATGTGGTCTTTTCGTTGGTGGCCCCGTGCTTTCGATTATATCTGCAAGAAGATTAGCAAACAGCCGCCAAGTCGTCGTTGCTTCCCGTCTGTGATGCAGCTTTCACGCGGGAAAGAGAAGAAGAAGGTGAAGCAGTGAAAAGGACCCCAGCTCCTCACACCTGAAGAGAAATGCTGCTGATGTGAAATCCGAACCTCACCGAGGACCTTAAAAAGAAATATGGGATTCCTTCAGACGTCAAATAGAGCTGACGCTGTAGTGACGTGCTCTTGTGCCGCTGCACGCTGACGCGCATGTGAACATGTAAGCACGAGGCCGTAGATATACGAATGTTCATCTGCAGCAGCCTCTCACAAAACAATTTCAACAACAATTAAATTGCCATTAGAGGCCCCTCTCATACTTTTTCAAATCAATCTTAAAAAAATAAAACCTCTTTCCCGGCTTCTCAGAGCATTAGTCTCGCCTCATGAATTCATTTTGTCATTGCATTTGGCTCTTGTTTATCAGCCCAGGCCTTTATCGACTGGCCTCCCACCGGGGCTCAGCAGGCCACTGAAGACCCCCAGAAACAATGTGCCCCCCCCCCTCCCCTCCCCCCTACTGAGGGCACCAGGTTGATGACCACAAGCTCCGGGGTCCGCTCGGACAGGCCGTGACCAAGTACGCGGAGCCCGAAGATGAAGTGGGCGGCATGAAGTGCTTGTGAGCCGAGAGGTCGCGTGCTTTGAGAAAAAAAGAAAAAGAAAAAAAGGATCCATCTTATTCGTCCTAAATGGACTCAAGAGAGGGAGATAAGACGAAGCGGGAGGAAACGGGGAGGGAAGGTTTTAAGGCTCCAAAACAAGGCAAGGTCAATTGCTGAACCCAAGTCGGGGCAGGCCTGCTAAAAAACGTGTGCCTGTCTGGTTTTTGGGGGGGGGGGGTGTGGAGGGGGGGAGGTTCAAGCTGTGGATGACGCAGATTGGCGCAATAACATAAATAACCCATCATAAACATAGCTGAGCTGCTCTGGCATGTCAGCAGGCCCACCGGCCAAACTCCACAGGACCCCCACCGCTCCCCTCCGCCACCCCCGGTGGGGGGGGTCCGCTGGGGCCCGGCGGTCTGACGCAGCGCAGCGGTCCTTCTCCACCACAATCCCCCGGGGATTAGAGGAGAGGAGAATTTGTGCCCAACTGGCCAGATCTCCTTCCGGATTCCATGACCCTGAACTCCACTTAAACCCCCCCCTCCCCCGTTATCTTGGCTTTTTATATATAGGTGCGCCCCCCCCCCACCCCACCCCCCGTCCAATATGTGGTTAACCTCTTCCAAAGCTTTATCTTCAGTTTCTCTGTTTCTTTCTGCTTTTCTTTCAACGTTCTTGGCTGCTGGGGGGCAGTGGAGGTTGACGGGGAGCAGAAACGAGTTGAAAGGGAGCCGAGAGCAGACGAACGCTGTAGTGAGGACAAAGCCGGTGTCAGCACTCTAATTGCACTTCAACACCAACGGCCCGTTTGTCTGAAGCTGCACATTTTCAGAAATGCTTGAATTATTTGGGGCGGGAAGGGGGTGCAAGGCGATCCATTCGCATGCTGTAAATGTCATGCATGTATTACATGGAGCTCTATTTACGTCACCTGTATGTATGGGTTTTGTTCTTCTGCTACTTTTATTTGCACAAATATATGATTCCAAAGCCAAGCAATATCCAACTGGCGAGGTTATTGTAGTTTTCTTTCACACAAATTACGAAATAGCTCTCATGCAACAGTGGATCCCCTTCTTTGCTCTGCTTTGTTACGCTATTTTGTACACATTTGCCTTATTATGGTGTGTAGTGATATGCGAATATGTCCCTAATTTGATGAAAATAATTTCAATATTATTTACCAAACCTGTGGTTTGCATCGGTTTCCACCGTTGGTGGTCCCTGACTACAGGGAGCGTTCCTGAACGAATACGAGAGGCTGTGCTGAGAATCAGCGGATGATGCCCCTCTCGTCTTTCCACTGCCATGTAGTGATGGGCTGAAACAAGGGCTAGAGCGCCGCCTAGTGGAAGTGCACGAGAAATTAAATTTGTTGAAAAAGAGTCTGCCATTCAAACCAGCGTGCCATGCCGGTTAACCTCCCTCAATAATGACTCCAACCTTGAAGCCAGTTCAGGGAGAGAACGAGAGTCCTTCACCTGAACAACAGTTCTTCCTGCGTGTGCTCGTATGTGCCCACAGCAGAAAGGCACCAAGGCCTTTTAGAGCTCATTAAAATCGTAGCAGGCGCCGGGCTCAGAGTGGGCCGAGCACACAAAAACAATCCGGTCGTCTTTTCCGTGAAGCGCCGTTTACAGAATCGCAACACGGAGCCTTGGGGCGATTCTCCAGGTTCACTTCAAGTGCACTCTGCAATGAAGGGAGTGTGATTTTTCAATAGTGAGTCTTTGCCGCCCCCTGCTGTCTGATAATGGAACACCATAAATATAAAGACGTTGACCACGTGTGTGTGTATGCATATATATGTAGTATAGTTTTTGGTTAAGGGGCAAATGCAAGAGCATAATGCCAAAATCTAGAAAAGACAGTTGTCATATTTTAGAATGCATCTGTGCACATCAGCTACTGGAAACACAAAAGCAGTGTAGGACGTACCGTGCTGTTGAAGACCACACTGTGGCCGTTGCCCACACTCTCAATGTGGGTGGACAGGTTAAGGCAGACGGCCCTGTGGCGAATAGCGTCCATGGTTTCGGCATCAAAGAAGTCGTGGGGCCTCGCTGGAGGTGGAAAACACTCACATGAGAGTAAGAAGTAGAAGACGGTAGAACAGACATAACATCAGGGTGCTTCAGCGCACACATTCAGCATCATATTTTGTTGAGCCAGAACAATCCGTCTCACATTTTAAATGTTATAATGTTATAACATTGTTTTGTGCTAAAGCCGTGTCTCCAGTGTCCTGTATTTGACCCTGATGTACAAACAGCAGCATGATACAAAATGTTAGTTTGCAGCTGTGCCCTGAGAAGGGAGGACGGTCGACTCGATCTCATAGAAGCTTCAAAACAAAGGACTTCTGTTCATGGCCTTAGTTCATATCTTATTCGGTACGAAAGTTACGGATCCACGTTTTACTTTGTGTCAATTAATTATGATTTGCACCGGCCACTGAGGAGGATCTTGTGTGTGTGTGTGTGCTACCCTCAGCTTCACCTGGGTTCTTATCTCAACCTGCTGTGCAGCTTCTCGTAACTGGCACGGAGAATGTCCTTCACATGTGTATAAAAACTCAGCGGTTTTACTGCTCGGGGACGCCATTTCCACAGAGCACCCTGATACGTGCCTGTGTATTTGACCTCCTGCTTGCAAGCAATAAATGGACTTTTTGCAACTTTGATCATTCATCAAGACTCTGTTTTATCAGACAAATCATTCTCTTCTACCGAGCTTTTATTGAAATATTCCACAACACGAGACACCCAGGAGTTTAAAAACGTTTCCAGTTTCCACCTGAATTACAATGTGTAAGTAAAGGACTGTTGTTGTGAGCTGGATTGTTGATGCTGATTTAGTTAAATGACTAATGGTCATCTAAAAAGGAAATTTATTTAAAAGTTATTCTTGGGGAAAACGGTTGGTATTAACTTCAAGTATGCTGTTGCTAATGGACTGAAATATGCAAAAAGAAAAGTCTCTTAATTCATCCATCCATCATCAAACCGCTTATCCTGAAGTCTCTTAATGATAATATAAAAATTCAACTAAAAGAGAAGAAAAGGGAGATTTGCGCAAAAGTGTAAAAAAAAAGGTTATAAAGAAGAAGAAGAAGAAAAAAAAAGGGGGTTTTCAGAACCCCCGTCCCCCAGGGAAGCCCAGAAGTGTCAGCATCCACATTTTGAAGTGAGGTTAGTTTGAGTGGCTGTCAGCTACTTACTTTGAGAGCACCTGCGTCTGTTCTTGAGTTTCCTCCTCCTGTTGAGCACAGCTTTGGAGGACGACTCGTCCTTGAGTCTGGACGGGCCGGACATTTTGGAGGAGCTCTGCTGGTTGAAGTGGCTGGGGACGTGGCGAGCTAACCCTCCTTGGGAGGCGAAGCTGGCGTTGCAGCCACCAACCACACACTGCGGCGGAAAAAACACACATTGCATCGCTCGCTCCCAAACACATAAAAGGGAACCAAAATTCTATCTGATTGATACAACTCGATTGTTTACTCAGTATGCTGATACTGCACGTATTACCCTGAATGTTTACCTTGAATGGCTTGTCTCCACTGTGGGTCAGCATGTGTCTCTGGAGCCAGCTTTGACTGGTGGACGGTGTGTTATACACTTTACACCCCTTCCACAGACACACAAACACCTGAGGGAGGCGAGAGACGGACATGAAGAGAGAAGAAAGTGGGGCATGGTTAACAAGACAGCTGTGAGAAGGTTTTTTTTTACTTTTAAGTGTATTTTTATTAATTTCGTCATCTTTGTTTTATCGTTTTTTGGTTCATTTTGTAAAATTTTATCCTGAATGTGCGGGCAAAAAAAACAAAAAAAATACTGTTCATTACATTTGTATTCATACCGTATATTCGGCGTGCGTACTGATTTAATGATGCTGCCAATGTGAAGCTATCAATAACTCACTTCACACACAGAATAAAAAATGAAGGATTTTTTTTGTACCTCTAATGGTATTCAGCCTTTCATAAAAGTTTTATTCATTCATACGTTTTCAAATATCAGTTTCTGACTCGACTCCAATAAAGTGAATCCAATTTCCAGAGTTAAAAACATTGACAAACTCTATCTGAAGAAGTTCAACAGCAACATCTCTTACTCCAGATCATTAAACCAACTCTCACATTTCTTCGGCAGAAGGTCGTTCCAATGCCCTCGGCATATTGAACAAACCCCTTAATAATCAACGGTCAGATGGATGTCTGTCCGGGCTGTCAATGTTAAACTAAAATCATCTTTCTTTGGCTACGTGACCAAGTCCACTGACCCCTCCTCTCTGTCCGTCCACATGAACGCCTCGGATGTGCTCTGCCAGATCAGGACTGCAGTTGAAGGACTGCGGACAGAGGTCCCAGCAGCAGGGGAAGGCCACGGCCTTGGTCCCGGTGGAGCTGACACTGCCCTGTCCGTTCATCATAGCGGGGGTGGAGCGCCCACTGGACATTGTGCTCTCCATCTCCATCAGGGTGCTGCTGATACTTAGAGAGGAGGGAGAGAGAGAGACACCATGCGATTGTTGTAAAAACACGGGCGCAAAGGCCGTCCAGGAGTATCTTCGCAGCTTCGATCGGGCTCCGCCGAGAACAAGTGCAGATGTTTCAAGCCACATTAAATAGTAACTGTACATCAAAAACCGTTGGGCTGCAGCTGATTTTCCATGCATGCCATATTCATCACACGTCAAATCAATTCAATTGTGGTATTCAAAGTTCCGAGGACTAGATTATTAACTTGCTGCGCTTTCAACATCACATAAGGGCTCAGGAGCATCACTCATTCGATAACGCACTATTACTGCGAGTGGCTATAGTCCAACGTTTTGGTTTGTCAATTCATTAATGGGATCGCAGAATTACCTTTTAATAAATGGGATTTTCCTTGTTTTGATTTGTGATTTCAATTTCAACAAGTTTGGAAGCCAATCATGGTCCAATGTGGTAGTTTAGTGTGATGGGAAAGTCTGAAATGACCTCCACACTGACATTTTTGGGGGGATTTTTTCAATTAAAAAGCTTGCACCAGGAGCAGGTTTTCAGATGCACTTATTTAAGGAGTGGACTTTGTTATGATGGCTAAGCCTGGATTGTCCAATGAGGGAGCAGTATTTAAACACCTGTCCGGTCATTATGGTACTCTAGTTCAAGCTAACGTTACATGCAAACATGAGCAGTACAGATGGAAATGGGCGGGATGAAGACATTATGTGGTTTGTAACTTACTGAAGAGTCAGATTTGAGGGCCTCCCCCCCCCCGGACCAACCTGTCCTCTGAGTCCATACGGCTCAACGGCTCCCCATCCGAGGAGGAGATCTCCACACTCGGCCGCCTCTTGTCGTCCAGCTCCCCGCCCCCGCCGCGGGCTTTCTCGCCGTCTTCACAAACCGTTTTGCTTTTCTGGCAGCCGCCTCCTGCGGGTTCCACCTTCGTTTCTTTTAATGCGTTAACGTCGGCGGGTTCCTGTTTTCCTTCCCCCCGTTTTCCCTGTGACTCCATCTTTCGCTCCGGTTCTTCGGGAGCGGCCGTCGCCTCCAGGTTTGCCCGCACGCCGCCGTCTGTCACCGCATCCCGCGGGGCCTTCTCTGCCGCAACCGCGGGCTCCTCTTCGGCGGCCGCCGCGTCTAACGCTTTCATTTTCGGTTCTACGCTACCGCCCGATTCTCCGGTTTCCGGTTCGGTATGGCTCTTATCTTTCTCCCCGCCGTTGCCCTTGTTTGGATCTACGGGCGCTGCGACGTTCTCAACACCGAGAGCGGTGGGTTCTTCTGGACCCGCGGCAGCCATTTCAGCGGCGTAGGTGCCCGTGAGTCACTTTCGGTATCGAAATACAACCGAGGCACCGAGAAACCGCGTCACTGAAGGGCGGGGTCGAACCGCGCTGTCTGCACGCTGATTGGTCAGGGGGGGGAAAAACTGATGGTTATTTAAACTTTCCACGTGTTTCCGAAAACACACATCTTCTTTTAAATATGGAAGTCTGTGCTACAGTTTAGTTTTAGTATCGGAATGTTAAAGCTGAATTGCCAAATGAGGTAAGTGGGTCTAAAAAGCATTTTTCTCAAAGCCCACAAGATAGTGGGGAAATAATCAATGCTTCCTAGTAGCCATCTATCTTGTTGTACAGCATATTAAAACAGTTCAGTGAATATGTGTAGTATTAATTTTAGTATTAATTAAGTCTTGTAGGGCTCTATGAAATTGAAATTGGCATGATGACGTCTCCAATATATGCAGTTTACAAATACTCTAAATCCAGACTTTTCGGCTGCAGAGTGACTAGAGGGAGCCAAAGCTCTATATTTGAACCTGATATTCTATTCCACTACATTGGATGTCAAAGAACAAAACCCAATCTCTCGTTAAGAACAGCAACATTTATTTCACATGATATAAAACAGATGGGATATGAACATTTTCAAATCAGATTAAGTATGCAACCATGTGCTGGATACATCCCCATCCTGCTGTACCATGTACATTATATACACAGTAAACCTCTGATAATTACACTTTGTACACAGACTCCTGGATCCACAAACAGCTTTTTTTTTATTGCTTTTTACATGTGCTAATCTTTTTTTTTCTCCCCATAGTTCCATAGTCTTCAAACTAACATATCATAAAATAGAACCAAACTTGTTTTTTTCCTTCTCTCAGTTTAAATATAACTTTCAGCAATACAAAAAAAGACAGTATAGAGTGACTTAGACATTCACATATGCGTCGGCAACAATGCAACGGACTCCAGAAGATCCCATCTTTAAATAATTACAACCTAGAAACAGGGGGAATTTACAAATAATACTCATCTGCAGCAATAAAGTGGCTCCTCCTTTCATTATCATCTCTCGCAATGACAAATGTTCTTTACAATAAATGGACACATATGACTGGTTGGTTAATGGCCAATTTCTCCAAAAACAAGTGATTAAGTCATTTGTAAACGACTGAGATTAGCTGGTAAATGTAAAATTAGGGGGAAATTTGTTCTTGAAAGCTTTTAGAATAGATTGTGAAACATAAAATGTAGCCGAAACATAAAATGTAGCCGAAACATTTCGTCACAAGACCCTCAGGCTGGTAACAGAACAGACCAATGCGGGCCCACACTCTTACAAGAACCTAATAAAACCATATAAATAATGAAAATATCCTTAAAAACCTTGTAAAAACTTAAAATGGAACTGCGACAATAACAGTTTGGAGCTGTATTCCGAGGCGAGGTGAACAGAAAGGTCGTGGGGGGAAAAGCGTTGGTGGTGGCGCAAGAGCTTAAGACGTCACAGTGAGCGTACAGAAGTCAGAAGTTAAGAACCCACAGTACGAAGTAGGCAGTTTCTCTCTGTAGGCTGCGGCCTTGTGCTGAGATCCTCGGGGAAGCCTTCAGGGGCATCTTTACTCCTCTGCGGTTTCCTTCATGTGTAGGTTTTCACTGAGGCCAGAGCCTGTGCTGTAGAGAGAGAATGTGAGACTTTTTTTTTTTTTTTTTTTTAAATGGGGGCAAAAGGTTAAATTATGCTCCGAAAATAATAGCAGACACATGGGATATGTGACGTTGTTTTCCTATATCCTCAGTGGCCACCTGTACATTCTAATGCAACTGTATGACGTCTTTAAAACCTTTGACTAACCTAGAAGATTCAGGTTCTGTTGATCCCTTTCACAAAGGGGTTCGATAAATTCTTTTAGTTAGGGGTGGAGGTGTGCTGGATTATATTCACGACTTTTGTCAAATGTCCCACCCTTATCATGTATGTAAACATATATAAGATATCACGTTAACCTAGTTAATAATTGAATCATTACTTATGTCAACAAAAACTGACCCTTATAAAGTTTGTATTGGCCAATTATACGGCACAAGCAGAGTCATGTGACCAAGAATAAAAAAAAAGAAGAAGCGAGTGGTTCTACAGCAACACAGATCACATGCAAACAGACCCGTCCTTATAATCGGACTCAGTCATCATGACATGCTCGTTCTACCCGCAGACAACGATTGAGAAAACATTGGATAAAACAGGTGGAAGAAGGCCCTTACTGGTGCAACTACACACACATGAAGTGAGACCCGTCAGGGAGTTGAGGGGGTGTGTTAGATGGCTGTGGAAGGGGTGAGGAAGAGGACGACAGGCGGTTCACTGCAATGAAAGAGCGAGATGTCCAACATACGCAGGCAAACACAAAATAAGTAAAAATCATATCCGTAGATCAACAGCCAAAACAACACAGAACATAATGACAGGAACCAATGAGCCTAATGAACAAACCGCTGGGACTACAGTGAGCATTGACTGAGCACAAAGACAATGGAGCCAATGGAGCCATTTTTAAGAAGAGGCTCACACAAGCTTGTTACATCACATGCCCCTGGATCCCTCTTCTCTCTGGGGGCGTACCTGCTACCAGCTTGCTGCGTTTGGAGGCCTCTGCCGCCAGCTCGTAGGAGATATTAATCATCTTCTCTTTCTCCTGTACGGTGACCTCCACTTCAGTCTCCTCCTCGGGGCTGAGCGCCATACTAGGCAGCGCATTCTGCATGCTGGGAGAACAAACACACACACGACAACAGTCTAAGTAATAGACAGTATACAGCTTCATCTGCCAACATAGTTTCAGAATAAACACAATGACCTCGGGACAGAGAAGCAATCTCAAGTCCATCCAAGAGGGCTGACATCTAGAATCAACTGTCACAGCAGCTAAGAGATACAAGCGTGCGCTCTTTTGAACATGCACTGAGTACTGATCTGCATGGGACAAGCATGTCCAAAACTTCTTTAAAGAACTTCATGCACAACCTCTGCTGGGGAAACGTGCCTCCCTGTCCAAAGATCCACACCTAACCTTAACTAAAGGTTACCAGACGATGACTCTCGTACCTGTTTTTGGCAATGAGGGCTTTGATGCGATCAACTTTCCTCTGCTTATCAGCCTCCTGCTCAGGGCTCAGGGCCTCCTCGGGGTCGGACTCCACGTAACGCTCAGGGATCAGCACTTTGTCAGGCACGGACAGCTGGAGACACGAGACACAAAACAAACTTTACACACTTCAAACAAGTGAACGGCCTAACTAATGCTTTACCAAGAAAAGAAACACATGCAGATACAAATGCGATACAAGATGTGAAGATACAAACAGAGCATTAGCACAGAGAGCCTGCTCCACATTTTTTATTTGGGGTGCGTATGAACTAAATGGAGCATCACTGCAGGCTCTGTCCCCGAGCGAGGAACACTTAGTGTGAGACACGCAGAGATCAGCTAGGAATTCTATTGATGGGATCCAGAAAAGGGCATTACTTCTTGTAATCACGACAAGAAGTAACTTCAAATCAAGTGCATTCTTATAGGCAGCCTTTAGAAGGATGTCACAGTGTGAGGAGTGTTTATGGCATCATTCATGCACAGGCCTCGAACGATTCCTGCAAAGATATTTTGCAACTTTGCAGTTTGGTCAATTGATTTAATTGTAATTGATTTCTATGGATGTTCAGCAAGTGCGGAATAGCAGTGATTCCCTTTTTAACCGTAATAAATGTAATGTTACGGTAACATGTTTTGATAATAACACCACGTAAGTGGGGATGGTGGTTTTGAGGATCACATCCGCGGTACTAACTAACTAACTAGCATGCACTTATTTCAGCCCTCTGAGTCTGAAGAGATTGACAGCCGGCCGCTGGGCCTCACTTCTCGGTCCATATTTAAGTGGTCGTCCTGCGAGGCTTCTTTGAGACGGGCGATCTCCTCGGCCGGCGTCTCCTGGTCCCGGACCACCTCCTGCAGCCGGAGCGAGGCCTCCAGCTCATCAATGCAACATATCCCCTCTTCTCTGCGCCTCATTTGGGACTAGAAGAGACACAAAGGGGGGGCGGCGCGCAAAGGAACACAGAGATTACTTCACACGACATGGATTTTACGATTTGATTCTCGGAAGCCAAGTCGGCCGTCACCAGATACCTGTGCGCGATAATGGTTCTCCTTTGTGAACGAGTGACTGCGAGAGGGCGTGTTTTCTTGGCCGGCGCCCCGGACGTGGGCGCCCTTCTTCTTCTCCCGGAGGGCACCCTGCTGGTGGCGGCGGATCCTGTCCAGCTGCTCCTCCACACTCATCCGGGGCCGCCCGCTCTCCGCGGCACACAGCTGCTGCTCCAATGCGCTGCGAGGACGCTCCTGGTAGCCAGAGGGGACGCCGGCAGCCGCGGAGAAAGAAAGGGACGCAGAAACACAAACAAGACACACAAATACGTAGGAGTTAATACTGCTGTCCCGTGCCAGGAGGACACACGTCGCCACTGTGGAGTTTTACTGGGCAGAGTTTGGGTGTCTAGCGGAGTGTGGTTGGGTCAGAGCTCATAATGAGGCCGCATTAAAAGAGTTCACTAGCTATTGTTAGAAACAGAGTAGACTAACCTCATCGTCTCAGGAAATGTCACACGTACTGGGGAAAAAACAACTTTTTTCCAACCGCTTTCAACAAAGTAGTGAGAATTGGCATGAAAAACCACAATAAGGACTGAGACGGCTCTTTAATGTAAAGGCTCCTGGAACCCAAACCTGAAGTGGCTGCTGTGTGTACACTCACACACACTTGCACTCAGAGAGGGCTGTGGGCCCATTAATGCCTGAGCAGGACAAGCTGAGGAGGTGAAGCGAACTAAGAGGTTTCAGGTTTATGCAATGCCGTAAGGGCTCGGATCTGGGTTCAGCCCAGAGCCCGAGGACGCAGCTTCCGCTGTCCAGATTGCAGAAGAGGCTTGTGTGCAAAAGCCCCCAGCTGAACTCCAAAAAGGCCCTTTACACTCTTTTACAGCTCGAGGCTGTGTGGCCCAC